TTAACTTATACAAAGTATTAGAATATGCAAAAATATCCTACACCAATAGAAACCAGGTCAATGTTGTTTCTCTACGGGGTGGGAACTTCCTGGAGGGCAATGTTCTGTCCTGATGTGCAGGTTACCGTATAAAACTAAGTATTTTTCAAGACTAATCAAACCGAACACTTGACATCTATGCATTTCACTGTAAATATTTCAATTCAAAGAATTTAAGTGCTACTCATTATTCATTGGAGATATACAAATTTAAACCACAATGATACAATGTACCCAGTAGAATGGCTAAATTTTAAAACACCAGACATCGATGGGGTCCAGAGTAACCAGAACTCACATTGTTAGTGCTAATAGAACTTTGGAAAAATCGTCTGGCAATTTCTTATAAAACTTTCTTACAATCCAGCAATTTCATACCTGTTTTCATCTCTAATCATGTACAGACTTGCATGAGAACATTCATTCACAGAGACTTTATCTGTAATAGCCAAGAGCTGAAAAAGCCCAGGTTTCCAGCAATAGGTAAACCATACTTTGCTCATACTCATATGTGTACACAAAATGGCTGAATCTCAAAAGCATTTTGCTTAATGAAAGCCTTATAGGACCCATATTTTTATCGTATTTATATTCAAGAACAGGCAGTTTGTCTTTATCTCTAGGGGACAGAGGCCAAGAATCGTCGAGGAAGGGCCACAAGGTAACTTGCTGGGGTGACAGCAACATTCTCCACTTTGATAGTATGTATGCTTTTACCAAATCTCATGGTATCCTTCTGGTTGAAATTTCAGAATTTATGAACATTGAGCTTGTTATTGTTGTGAATGCCTGTTTTCAGGTTATTGACACGTGCAACTGAACAAAAATTGATGTGATGGATTTTAAGTTTTTCTGGAACAACTGGTATAGAGCTGAGGTTATTTACAGAATGACAGTACTGAGGCTTTTTCTGCAACCCTAATGCTCAGCTAACACTGCTTTTCCATGTGATGAGTTCCTTCAACTGGCTATACAGCCCAATCACAATACCCTGTTTTACATGCTGATTAAAGTTAATACATATATCAGGACCCACAAAATGAAGGCTGCCAGCAGTGGACTGGCCCACCTCACAAAGGTAAACCTAAGTCAGCACACACTTACAGGAAAACACCCCATCAAGGTGACCTTTAACATATACCCATCACAATCCTCCAACTTTAGCTAGCTCACCTTCCCCTAGAAAACAGGACCCCACAGCCAATGATGCCTACTCTGTAAAACTCTTGCCCCAAATGCCCTGGAACCGTGCTTCGCTGCCTGTGAGCCACTGCACTCCCGACCCATCGATTGTTCTCCCTTAAATAAAGGACAACTGTCACTAAATTAGTTTTATCAAGTGCAAATGAACATGAGTCAGATGTACACAGAACAGTAAAGAAACTTACCAATAAAGCAGCACACTACTCATGTGCTGGTTTAATGGCATCCCCATTAAAGACTTGGTCTAAAGTGGGACTCTGCCAAATCAAATTAACCAACCTGCCTTCTTCCCAGGAGCCAGCAGGAAATATCAAAAGCACTACAGTACATCTTTTGTACTTTAGCTTCTAGTTCTTTGGTGTTATTGCTCCAATTTCAGGGTAAGGATTAAATGTAATCATCCGAATTACCTTGATACCTACCTGAAACTCCCTCTCCTAATGAAGGAAGCCTAGCCATAGGATACCCTCAGTGACTATGTTCCCTGGCAACTAACTGCAAGGGCTAACAGTGCCTGAGAACTAGGGTTTGGGGGAGGGGAACATGTGGAGATCATTATTTAAAAGCCAAAATGAATCCCTTATTAAAAAAGAACCCAGGGCCACAAGAGAAATGCATGTTAAGTTTTATTAAGGTTCAAATACAAAACATTCCAAAGAGAAAAACCATTATACCTAAGTTCTATATTCAACTACCAGTTAAACAAGAAAAACATGTTATTCTGTTTCTTTTACAACCAGTATAAAGCCAGAAGAATCAAGACAGATTCCTTTTCCAACAGGAGCAGAATTAAGTCTGCTGGGTCAAACTATTTGCCAAACAGCTGTCTGGTCATTAAGCGTTCTTCAATTTAGTATTCATGTTTACTATGATTAATCTCTATGTTCTACACTTATCTTCAAGATAACCTAAATAAAATCTCAAGAGCCAAAAGGTCCACGGAAGCTTAAACCCAAGTATTTAGATTATAGAATGACTGAGGAAGACAGCTATGTTAAGTGCAGTGGTTTTCTAAATTTGGTCAATACCCTGATGGTCTGTGATTAGAAGAGCCCATCAAAATGAGGGTTAAATTCCTTGATTATTTTCCATGATTGCAAATGTTAAACATGATAGTACTGATATTTACTAGGTAAAAATTCAGAAGGTGAGTTGGTTTCTCCTAGTCCAACTCAAATCTGTTTCCTTTGAGAACATTAGCTTTTACACTATTGGCTCTAGTCTCCAATGCAATAAATGACAAAGCTGTACTGTATCTCGATTTGTTTCTAAGATATGAAGTGGGGTGAGGGGTAAAGTAGGCTTACAAAATAACTTAAAAAATAGCAAAAGCCAAATGGCCCAATTGTTTCCAGTTTTTAAGAAGTGTGCTTTTGAGCATTTTATGTTTCCAGTTACTTCAGTTTCCAGATATTAGTCTTCCCTTTAGTTTTAAGACTAAATCTCACTCCTGGATAAACTAACACAAAGAAATATTTTACCTGCTGAAAATCAGACACTTTACTGGATAAAGTCGCCTCTTATGCCTTTCATTTTTCTAATCCGACTTTCTGACAATCAGTGGTAATTAGGAAGTTCTAAATTGCAGTTGTCCCTATGACTTTGGCTAAAGGAAATGAAAGTCAAAGCTGTAAAATCTACATAAAGAACCATGAAAACTTCCTGACTACCTCCACTTACCAATTTCTTTAATTGCTCCCCTTTCTCCATCTGGTCAATTTTTTAAGTAACTGCCACTCCCTAGTTACAAGTGCTAACCAACGTTGATGCCTTCCTTAGATCCACAGGAACCCTGGAAGGCAAAAATCTTGTCTGCACCAAACCAATTCTGATGAGTACTGCTTATGCAACTGTTGTGCCTTAAGGACAATCAGCATTCTTCTGCTTCAACAACTCTGTAAAATGAAAAGCATGTTATCACATCACAAGGTATTTACTGTTTTATGCTGGAAATTACTGGCCCCCCTTACCTATTCTTTAAATACTTTGTTGCTTTAACTGGCAACACATATAACATTTGCTTTAAATTACGAGCTCAAAAAAGCAACCATAAAAACCTATAATTCCTGTAAGCATCACTTTGGTAATGAAGACAATAACGATGTCATCATTTTACTAATAAAATCGTTACTCAAACTAGGGACTCAGTGGCAGCTCATCTGTTCACCCTTCAGCCAGTCTGTACTGTGGCCAAGCAAACAATCACGAACTGATGAAAAGGGTGTCATTTACCAAACACAGGATAAAATTTGAACCTCATATAAGTCTGCTTACACGACAAAACACTAACTGTAAAGCTCCAGCCAACAACTGCTTCTGAAAACAGTATTAGCAAGCTGTATGCATTCAACAGAGCTACTAAAAGCATTGCATGACTGAGCCACTCATGGAAATATGCCTGTTTAAGATAACGTCACCCCACATTTGAACGAATAATGTGCCAGGTGTTACACATATAGAGCACTTTTTATCCTTGTAATGCAAGCGTTAGATTATCCCATTACAGGTAACTAGCCAATATCAACATATGCAACATAGCAAAGCTGTAGTATTTAAAGCTACAAAGGTCACTGCTTTCAGAACTTACCTTAGCATTGCATTTCTCTTGCTGCCAGCTTTATCTATTGTGAATCAATCAGCACTCCATGACCATCATGACCATGACCAAAATTCTCAACCTGTAAAAATTAAATAGGCAACTAGTTATCCCTCTTAAGGAAATTCTTCAAAACTTGCCTATAACTGCCCCCTTTTCCAGAAAGAAAAGGCAAGTTCAGACTTGCAGCTTAACGTATTTCATGTTCTACTATTTCTCTTAAGTGGTGGAAGCTTCACTGGCTTGGGATGGACTGGAATGGCTTAAATGGTTAAGTTGCATGGCTTATGGATCCCCATTCTGTTCCAATGGTGCACTGCCATGTTAAATCCATAAGTTGAACGGACAAAACTTATTTGAAGGAATAAGTGCAGTGTAAGGATTTTTAGTTGGAGGTCTTCAAGTTTACTATATTCAAGAGCATCTTTTTCAACTTCATGGCTGGACCTGGGTCATGCTGCCTCAGGTTTTGCTTTTTAAAGACCACTTGCAATAGATTTTCTCCATACAGTGTAGTTTCACAGAACTAAAAACAAGTCAGGCATCCAACTAAATGTCAGGTTTGCAATGGCTTACAGGGGTAAAGAGAGGGGGACCCCAAACTTAAGCCATTTCCTACATTGACTAAAAGACTAATTTGAAAAACGTTAAAACATGAAGCATGTTTAAAGGTCTTCATCAAAAATAGATTTAAAAAAATACCCCCTCCCAAGCCCCAGATCGCTATTGGTAAACAACAGCTGTATTAAGGCCTTTAAGTGTCATACATGCTTTAAAAAAAAATCCAAGTGTTGAATTTGGAGGACTTCTAATATGCTATCGAACACTTTGTTTTCCAAAAGTTTTTTTTTTAATCTAGAAAGCATTTCCATTGCCATGAGGTACAGTATGTTTCACTGTACTATGAGGAAGGTAAGTGTTCAATTTCGACTTAGACGGAAAAACTAGTTTGCTTTGCTTACCATCTTTGCTGTTTCACAGGCATTTGATGCTTTAAATCTGATGTGGAATGCTGATAGATTCACTTTTTAGAAGTCATAAGCCTTTGAGAAGTTGGAGATAACTTCATTGCTTATCTATTTTCTCCTTTGCAATCAAGCTGTTCCTTAAAAGTGAGACACTACAGAGTTGCAAAAATTTGAAACAGTAAGAGCAAGCATCGTTTGCAGCTTCATGGTTGGTTTTGGCCAAACTTTTTATTTAGTATTCTGTAGTTGCTTAACACACACTTAAATGGTCTTATTGGGGAGGGGGAAAGGGGAGGTTCTTGTAGATTCCCAAGGAAATGTCAGAAAAGCAAAATATGGCCAGCACTATCCATTTGCTTTTTTGGGTTTACTGGGCGAATAGCATTTTCCTTACAATATAAGCATCTGATCTCAGGTTTTTCATACTGAGAACATTGAGATTTCAGTTTGAAGACACTCTGAAATCCTAAGAGTAGCATACCCCGAACCACCCTCTAATAGCTAGCTTGTTTGTATAGGCAGGAGGATTCATCTCTCCATTTTAGATGAATAGATATTTTGTGAAAGATCTTAGAATTGCTTGCCTCATCATTTACTGGGGAAAATCTTATAGAAAGTGGCCTTTAGGGACACTTTTACTTGGAAAATTACAATACTAGTACACATGTCAAGTCTTAACACACTTAACATTTGCTCGTTGAAAGCAATGTCATAAAATCAAAGATTAAACATGTTTTACTCTTTTTCCTCACAAGAACATAAAAATTATGGAAGGGGAACTTAATAGGAAATTTAAAAAAGGTAACACAATCTTTCCTTTTAGTAGTCCTTGGGTAGTTATGACAGAATAGGTTCCACTTTTGTTTGTTTCTTTGAACAGGGATTTTGGTCCAAAGTTTTGTTTGTTTTTAATATCTGCTTCTGCCTCCCCCTCTATCAGATCGGCTTCCTCCACGGCCACCACCTCTTGGTGCTCCGCGGCTTGAACTGCTGTAGGAATCTCGTGGAGGAGGGTACCCCCTTTCCATAGAAGGGGGAAGCCCTCTTTCTTGTCTGCCAACCCGATCACGACCACTTGAGTAGAGATCACTTCGGCTGCTTGAGTAACTGTCTCGACTTCCACCATATCCGTCACGTGAGCTGCTGTAATCATCATAGCGACTGCTTCCACCATAAGATGGCGGGGGCCCTCGTGTAGGTGGAGCACTACGTGAGTTACCTGCAGGGTCAATGGTCAGGTAATATGGCAACACTATAAATTGTATATATACAACATTTAAATCTGAATTTACAGAATTCTTGTATTAAACGTTTACTTTCTCAACTGGGAGGTTTTAAACTTTGCCATTGCTGGCCATTAACAGGGATTTGCTCATCTGCTGAGATACGGAAATGGATGGGTTTTAATGTTTGTTTGAAAAGACTGAAGACGGTGTATTTCAAGAGGATATTCCAGACAGCTTGTTATTTTATAGTAGACACTCAGCCACTTTCCAGTGATAAGTTGCAATTTTGAACTGTAGACTTTCCTTCATATTGCAATGGTAAACATTTGATCTTGTTAATAAAATTTTTAATTGTATTTTCACTGTTGGGGGAAAACACATAAGGCTGCCAATTTAAGCAAGCAAAATCCCCTCCAAAGCAAGCCAACAGCCTCAAAAAAAAACTTAGAAAAAAACAAAAGCCCCTCACAAGACTAGGAAAAGCCCAGCTGATTAAGTTACCCCCTTAAAAGCAAGCAAACATCCCTTTAAAAGCAAGCACCACAACAGCCTAATAAACTGGCTCATGAACCTAAAAACTCAAGCTGGTGATATTCAAAGACCCTCAGCCAAAATCTTACCATAACTCTCATATGAATCTCTGTAGGAACCTCCACTTGGATGATCTGAATAGTCACGATCACGACCATAGCCATCTCTATCACTAAATTAAAGAAAAAAATGTATTACAAGCCCCAGAACATCAATTTTTACAGCAAAAAATTTTTTTTACATCAAGCCATGACAGCAACAGCAAAGTCACTTACCTATAGCCTCTTGATGGATAGTCATCACGTGAACTGGAATGACCATAATCACGGTAAGTATAATCTCTTGGTGGTGGTGCATAATCTCTTGTATCACGAGAACTTGGGTAATCTCTGCTTGAATAGCTAAAGGAACAAAAGTAACTTGGTTCATATTTTTGATGAGCTCTCCCCTTCAACCTTAAGTATTAATATTAGAGACAAAAACTACTATGCTTTTCTGTTACCTGTCTTTAGTAGAATATCCATCATCTCTTGGGGACAAATAAACATCTCTACGAGAGGGCAGGGGCTCCCTTCGAGGTGGACCTCCATAACTATCTCTTCCACGTGATACAGGAGCTTAAGGAAAAATGTCCATTTTAAAAACATACCCAGTGAAAAGTCAAAACGTGAATTTACATTCAGGCAATGAAAAGTAGTGACTCAACCGAATATGACAATATGGATGTAAATGAGGAAATCCTCTTTAAAATTTCTTATGTATACCAATCTTTTCAATGATCTAGGTACAGTTTTAAGCATCATTTTTAGGATTCACCTCTCAATCCTTCCTTGTGTCATGGTGATAGGATAGACTGTCATAAATGGACCATTTACCTCTTCCTCCCATTCCACTGCTGCTGCGAACTGGTCCTGAAGGAGCAGATCTTTTAGGAGGAGGACCCCCACTTCGTGGCGGTGGTCCTCTTTTTACTGGAAGTGGTCCCCTGGAAGAACTCATGTTAAAATTCATGGAATAACCACCGTCGTCTACATTAGAACAACAACAAAAGAGAAAATCATGTTAATATAAGTACTAAGAAAAATCTAGTTTTCTTCGCTTAATCAAGAATATGACCATTTCTGTTTAGTTGGGGAATCTTGAGTTCTCACTCATACATGACTGAGCATGAGAACTGTACAGTGTATATAGAGTATACACAGAAAACTACATACAAGAAACTATACAAAGTGTATATAGTTCTCTATACGGTAGTCATCTATTTAAGTCTGCATAGATTAGCAAAGTACACATGAAGGGTTCTCCTGAGGGTTCTTTTCAAGTTACTTCAAAAAAATATATACATTGTTTCATTTTCATATGACCAACACCTAATACCTATCAAAATTTTTCTGCAAGTGTTTTTTCCTACAGAATGAATTCACCTGGATAAGGAATAGCTAATTGTTAATTATTTCAAGACACTGTAATTTAACTTAGGATGGCTTCTATGTTTTCCTTAAGTCAATCACTTTGGTAGATGAACAAGTGTTCTCAATTTCAAAAGCTAGGGCCTTTAAAATACTTATTAACCAAAGCACACACTGGTGTGTTTACAGTTCCTAACTTATACACCAAGCCTAAAGTAAACCTAAGTCATTACCCATGTGCCCTCCACGTGAGGGAGGTCCCCTGGTTCCTCCACTTCCTCCTCTTCCGCCTCTAAGGCCTCTTGGAGGGCCTCTGCTTCTTGGAGGTGGAGGTGGTCCACGTCTACCACTTTCAAATGATGGTTTAGTGGCTTGTTCTACCTTGATGGCTTTTCCATCTAAGGACTAAATAATATCAGTGGTTAATTATGGAAATTTAAAAAAAGAACTTGCAGATCCACTATGCACTGTGACACTAGTATATCCTTCAAAATGTTGTACCTTTCTGTTTAGCACTTAAATGCCTAGTCTTTTAAGATAACTGCTTATTTGAACTAAAACCTAAGGTGGATCCACTGTACTGCTAGGTCGGTAAAGTTTAAAAACAATGCCAGACAATGACCAACTTATTAAGACAAATAACCAAAAACAAAAGCCAAGGATCCCAGACGAAGTATAATACTGAATATTCTAAAGCTGAAAGATTCTTGCCAAGAATACACTTTAAAAAATTTCGTTCTAAAATTACAAAGGGCTAGGATAAGAGGGTCCTGGAAAAGTATATACTCAGTAAAATTCAAGAGCTGCCCTAGACCAGACTTGGATAACATTGTGCTATTTTGCGTACTAGGAAACATGGTATTGTGCACAGTCTCACCTTTCCATTCATGTCTCTCGCTGCATCCTTAGCATCTGCTGGGCTTTCAAAGGTGACAAAAGCAAATCCTCTAGATTTGTTGGTTTCACGATCTTTCATCAAGAGAACTAAAGTAGTTTTCAAGGGGAAAAGGAGTGTTACTCTAGTTCAAATGGAAAAACAAAAGTAAATCTGTAAAAAGAAAGCTCAGAACTTCTTAGAGGACAAAGCACGTTATCATTTCATATGATCAATGCAATCAAATTCATCACAGCTTACCTTTTTAAAAAAATTACAATAACCCTGCATATGCCTTCAGATAACTCACCTTCCACTATTCGTCCATATTTGCCAAATACTGCTTCAAGAGCTTTCTCATTTGTTTCTGTATTGAGGCCACCGATGAAGAGCTTTCCTGGGCGATCTGCTTCAACCATTTTTTCCCTCTGGTGAAAGTCTGTTGGAAAAAAAGTGTTAACCCTCCCTGGAAATGTTTACCCAACATGTGTACTGGGGCTCATTTTTCTTGTTTACTAAAATCATTCCTTAATAGCATAATACACAGAAAGCAATTTTTTCTAAGCCTTACCAGGAAACCAATTTAACTAGTTCAGCGATAGCTGTTTAGATTAAAATGGTTAAAAAAAGCCAACTTAAGGGAATTTCCTGACGTCCAGTGGTTAGGACTCTACGCTCTCACTGCCGAGGGCCCAGGTTCGATCCCTCGTCAGGGAACTAAAATCAAACAAGTCGCGCGGCACGGCCAAAAAACAAAAGCCTACTTAACTAATGCCTTTATCCTTAATCCACTTTCGCAGTCTTAACCAAGTAACTACAACATTTCAAAAAGTGAATTTTAGCTTTAACACTAGATTTGTTGCCTTTTAAAAATTCGATGATCACATCCCAATTACCCTGATTTTTTTAAACTGACTCAGTCAAGGTCACAGGCCAAACGTAGGTCCGAAAGACCAAGCCCTCTCCCAAGAACTTTGCCTTTCATTGGGATACCCTAGTAAATCTAAGGACCAATTTAAAGTTTTAATCAAGTTATGACTCCCCTTCTTCACCAGCCCCTGCCCCGCTCGCTAGGTTTTAAAAAGCGTCAATATCATCTCAGACGAAGTAACGGAACGTGGAAGCGCGCACTGTAACACTGAGCACTCCATGACTGCAGCGGAACCCAATTAAAACCCGTCATTAAAAACCGCGTGGAAAACACAAAATGGCGACACTTGGATTCAGCCCAGAACAACCGCCGCCGGTCAGGGGAGTAACTTTTCCCACCAGCGAAGGCTGAGAAAACTCAAAGGGCTTCCGCTTCAAGGCTACCAATGAACAAGGACCCTGCGCAAAAGTGCAAGTGCCCGCCCGGAGCGCCAGCGCCATCCCAATGCAGGTAGCGACCACGGAGGCGCGGTCCCTCCTCGTCCCGCTCAGGCCCAGACCTCCGCCACCTCCCGCCCCCAGAGGCGACAGCCAAACTTTCTGGAGAGGTACACTATGAAGTGGCACCCCAGCGTCTGCTCTCTTTCGACACTCCTAGCTTTCCCTAAATAGGTCGGCACCTCTGGGTTCTTAAAATGGCGCCCGCCACCCCCATCTCCAAGGAGGTAATCCCAAGTTCTAACGTGGCAAGAGTGAAGGAAAAACAGACTGTAAAGGAGAGGACTCACGTACTGGAGGGGTGACAACGGTTTCAAGCGCCTATGAGCTCGCCGATGGCGGCTTCCTAGCAGCTCAGCACGCGGAAGGGTGGTAGGTCCCGAGAAATGAAGTGAGAAGCCACTCGCACTACTGCGCAACGAGGGCGAACAAAGGAGACAGCAAACTTTATACTGCCCGGGAACGAGGCTCAAGGACCCGGATGGAGGCGGAGCTTAGAATTTAAAATGCGAACGGGTGGGGAGCGGTTCCCAGCTTCCCCATTAGCTGCCTCCGCTGTTATTCACTCTTCGCTCCTCCCCTTTTCCTGGGCCCTCAGCTCTCCAGCCGGCCCCAATTTCTAACCGTTTTCCCAGCCCCCACCGGTGCTCCACAAACCCGCGTTTCTGCTTTCCGCTAAAATGGTTCACGGGCTGCATGTAAAAAAGAACTGAAATTTTTTGCGTGTTCTGGTGGGCCAGGCATGGTGCTAAACTTTACACCCATTAACTCTAATTCTCAAGACAACGTTGATGAGGATAGAATTATGCCAATTTTGCAGAAATGAAAAACAAAGAAGCTTAGAATTATTGTATTAAAAATACATTTCCCCAAAATATCTTTAACAAGAATTTTTAGTGAATGGGGAAAATTCGGATAAATAAGTGTAAGGTGGGGGAAAAGAACTATACTAAAGAGACAGATTATCCGTTTACATAGAACAATTACTGAGCATCTACTAAATGGCGGGCAGGCTCGGCTTGGCCGTGAGGGTACAACCCAGCAAAGCGAGACAAGGGCAACGTGCCTCACTGGTAAGGCTGCCAGATTTAGCAAATGAAATACAGGATGCCCAGTCAAGTTTGAATTCCAGATAACAAATACTTTTCTTTCAATATAAGTAAATCTCAATATCATATAAAGTAAACTTATTCACTGTTTATCTGAAATTCAAATGTAACTGTGGTTTTTTTTTTTCGGTACACGGGCTTCTTACTGTTGTGGCCTCTCCCGTTGCGGAGCACAAGTTCCGGACGCACAGGCTCAGCGGCCACAGCTCACGGGCCCAGCCGCTCCGCGGCATGTGGGATCTTCCCGGACCGGGGCACGAACCCGTGTCCCCTGCATCAGCAGGCGGACTCTCAACCACTGCGCCCCAGGGAAGGCTGTAACTGTGTTTTTTATCTGCCAATCCTACTCGTGGAGGGGATTACAAAAATTTTTTATTTTCTAATTTCTTTACAAACTAAAGAGAACATTTAAATACAATTAACAAATAAAACAATTGCATCTTGTGATTAGTGCCAGGGAAGAAGTAAACTCAGGGCTTTGATGGACAACATTTGGGACACCAAATTCGATTTAGCCCTCAGGGAAGGTCTATCTGAAGAGGTGGCTTTGGAGATCAGCTCTGAAAGAAGAAAAGAAATCTGCCTCGGGAAAGCTGGGGTGGGGGTGGGAGATCCGAAGCTTTTCAGAGAAAGAAGCGCAAAGTGGAGGTTAAAGAGGTTGCATGTATCAAGGGACAGAAAGGGATCCAGGGCGACTGGAATTTAAGGGGCATAAAATGAGGGAGCCAAGGTAGGCAGAACATTCGAACCCATTAAAAGATTGCAGGGGGCTTCCCTGGTGGCGCAGTGGTTGAGAGTCCGCCTGCCGATGTAGGGTACACGGGTTCATGCCCTCGTCCGGGAGGATCCCACTTGCCGCGGAGCGGCTGGGCCCGTGAGCCATGGCCACTGAGCCTGCGCGTCCGGAGCCTGTGCTCTGCAACGGGAGAGGCCACAACACTGAGAGGCCCGCGTACCGTAAAAAAAAATAAATAAACAAAACTGTGATGATACAGGGATTGCCCCAGAATCTGATTTTTCTTAGAAAAATAAGTGAGTCTATCCCTCAGTTTCAGCAGTGGATCTGGGGAGGAAGGAACAATTGCTAGGTGTATATGGCAGGTAGCATGGACAGGATTTGCTAATGAATCAGATGGGAGAGCACTGGGGTGGAATTCAAACAACAGGGTAAATCATTATGGATGACTATCTGGTATTAATAGGTGGTGGCCATTTATCAAAATGGCTGCAAAGGAGCAAGTTTGGGAATGTGGGCGAGGGTGAAGAAATCTGATGCTCAGACCAGAGATTAGGGCTAATTTGTCGCTTTAGAAATAGTAATGAAACTCATCAGAGTTAATGAGACCACCAAAGAAGAGAATACAATGGGGAAGAGAAAAGAAGTCTGTGTTAACTACTAAAAAATACATGTGGAGAGGAAAACACTAGAAGGAAATATGCTAAAATGTTACCAGTTTATCTTGGGGGAGGGGTAGAATTTATGGACAATTGTCACTTTCCTTCTTCACCGTTACAGTTACTCTGCCATGGTGAATTATGGTATATGCCAGGCAGGTGGTAGTAAATGATGCTCAGGTCATGGGTAAAAGCTCCAAGGAGCTTTGGAACCAGCTTTGCATTATGAACATTAATGGAGGGAATAGTACTCAGTACAATAAGAATATTTGTCCTTTTTTCTTTTCCCAGCCAAATAATAACAAGTAAAGCCAAAGTCACGTCCACTTGCCTTCAGAATGAGTTATGTAAATTATTGAGTATCGGGATAGTTGGGGATTGGCCAGGTTGGCAAAAAGCACTTAAATGCCTCAGCAAAGGGAGTCTGCACCCCCAGGCAGAACTAGGAGAAATCCCTCCCCCTGGGCCAGCAGATGCTCTTTCTCTGTCTCAGATCCAGGCAAAAGGACTAGAGGGCCTCTGCCGGACTAGGGGAGAATGGGGCTGATTTCTACCATAGATGTCCCTGTCCCCCTGGGTCTCGAGAAGGAAATGTACTTCCCAGTGGAACAGACTACTCTAGTCTTTGCAGTTCGTGCTCAGGAATGTGGAAGGTGGGGAGTGGAGTGCTCTAGACTAGGGGGCCAGCACTTCCAAGGACCAGAAGGGAAAGGGAGGGGGTGGGGAATGGCTAGTTGAGGAATCTGTAGGAGAGCATCATTATGGCTGTAGCTTAGAATCTAGAGGTGAGACACAGAGGACAAGGCAAGTACCTGGAGAGGGAGGCAGAGGGCCTACTGACCTGATCAGAGGGCACTGGAGAGGGGAGCCTTTTTAAGAGGTGAAGCAAGATAATCAGATTTCATCTTAAAGGATCACTGTGGCTGCAATCCAGAGACTGTACTGGAGAAGGGAGGGGCAGGAAGCAGGGTGTTGCTGATGTAGTCCCAAGAGAGAGGGGATGTGGGCAAGCTAAGTGTGAGCAGCTCTGGCCAACAGGCAGTCGGGTAGGCAGGTCTCTCATTGCCCAAAACTGATCTCTGAATCCCATTCTTCCCCTTCATGGATCTTCTAGATTTTTCCCTTTACTTCTTTCTTTCTATTTACTCCTTTGGATTTCATTAAGTATAGTTATAATTTTCTTTTTACTCTAATTTTTCCTTTGCCTCGTTTCTCTCCAGATGCCATCTCAATGATTGACCAATGGTCTGAGTCCAGTGATGTTACTTCTCCACTAGGTATCCTTGGAATATAATCAGTGCTAAATAAATGTCGGCTGAATGAATTACAAGCTCTTTTTATCCTCCATGTTACTTAGTATGAGATGGGTGCATAGTAAATATTTAATGAATACTGGTGGCCTTGTCTTATATCCCAATTTACCTGAAAAGGGCTCACATTTATTTTTTTACCTAACAAACAAACAACAATAAAACAAAAACACTCCATAGTTTTAAAAGCTTCAACCTGTTAAATAATTAAGAAATAACCTTCAGTCATCAAGCTAGGGATCACTCTGAGATGAGTAAATTGAAGCTCTCCTGTCAGCCTTGCATTTTTACAGAAAGGGCAGATGTAAGGTCACTCTGCAGCCAGTTATGCATGTTTTCCAAACTACAGAAAGATATCCTGCCACATGTTCTAAAAACGTCTGTTATCTGGTATGAAGCAAGGAGGAAGGGAGGGAAGAATTGTATGCGATTAAAGATTGGGAGGCTTTCCAAGCCACTGTCCAGAAGATAGCCTACTTAACTACACCAAGCAAGGAAAAAAAACTTTTTAACCAATGTACGGCTCTGGTATCTATACAGGAACTGGCAGAATGAGTGAAGATATAATTCTACTGTATCTTTCTCTATGATGAAGGAGATGATGACTTTTAACCAAACTTCATAGTCCCTTAAAAGGAACTGAAGTAGGACTTAAGAAACATTTCAAAATGGCTGGGAGTGGGACGGGGGTGGGGGTGGGGGTGTGATTGATTTTTCAATAAATTGTGTCAAGACAATTAGAAAGTTGTTTGAAGGGGAAAAAAAAATCCAGATTCATACCACACTTTTTACTTCAAAATAAATTCCAGCTTAAAGGCTTAAATGTGAAACCACTTTAGTACTAGAGGAAAAATGGGTATAGATGCTTTTCTAATCTTGTCATGAGGAACATCCATCCTTTCATTCATTCAACAAATATTTATTCAGTGCCTATTATGTGTCAGCACTGTTTTGGGTGTTGGGAATACATCAGTGAACCAAAAGACAAAAGTCCCTGCCTACCTGAAGCTAACATTCTAGTGAGGAGGGCTAGACGATAAACAATAAACCAAATAAATTATAAAGTGTGTTTGAAGATGAAAGACGCTAGGGAAGCAATAGAGCAGAGTAAGAGGGGGAGGGTGTCAGGAGTATGGGAATGGAAGGGTGCAAAATTAAAAGGGTGGATCAGAGTTGGCCTCAACCAAGAATGTGACATTGAAGTAAAGATAAAGGAGGGAGAAAGCCAGCTGGGGGAAGAGCCATCTTGGGAAAGAGCATGCCAGGAAGACTGAAGCATACCTGCCCCATTCTAAGAACAGCAAAGAGGCCAGCGTGGCTGAAACTGAATGAGCAAAACACAAGAGTAGTAGAACCTAAGGCTGATAAGTAGCAGAGGGGCCAGATCATGGAGGGTTTTGTAGGCCATTGGTAAAGACTTTGCCTTTGTTGAGGAGGAAAAATAATTTTCCCTCTACTCTTCTAGGTTCTTGGCTAAGACCACCCCCCAAAAATAAAACATTAATAGGGGCTTCTCTGGTGGCGCAGTGGTTGAGTGTCCGCCTGCCAATGCAGGGGACACGGATTCGTGCCCTGGTCCGGGAAGATCCCACATGCCGTGGAGCGGCTGGGCCCGTGAGCCATGGCCACTGAGCCTGCGCGTCCGCAACGGGAGAGGCCACAAC